ACATGATTTGTGAGGTTGCAGTTTCGATTCACCTCATGGAATTATCATGTAAAAAAATCGACGTTGAATGCATATTTAAAGGATGTTTATAAAGCTTTGTTGATGTAAAATTCTTCGGTTAAGTCAGGTCATGATTCTCTGAGAATGCCCTGGATGAAGAAACCTTAAGAACAATATGATGATGTCACTATAGCTTTATAAATTCCATTAAAATGTGTAATATTAAGCATGCATAGTCATCATTACTTTTTTAGTTTGGATTTTAAATTATCCGGGAGAATGTATTTAATTGTTTGATCCTGTTTATTATGCTAGTTTGAACCATGTCAACCAACTGTTGCACTATTTATTCATGGCATAATGGGAAATAACTCTGAATAATGAATACATGCAAAAAGAGGTAAACTGGTGGCATTGGGTAATTGAGGTGCCAGCACACTGCACCAATTCCTTAGCTAGGGCTAATCTCTGTCTGATGTACTTGATCAACATCAGTTGAAGGTGATGGTCAATCCCCTTGACTTGACGTCTGTGTTGGTTCTGGCAGGCACTCAAACCTCACTTTAGTCAGCACTATGACATCAGGATATATACTGGGAACATATTCCAACCTAGCTGTGTTCACAAATAGAAGAGAAGATAACTAGATATATTTTTATTAATAGGGGCTACCAAATTTGGAAAACAGTTTTCTTTATTAGCCGTGTCATGGTTATTGTATGTACTAGTCTATGACAAAGGAAGATTTTATCAGTGTCTTTGTCAATATCAGTGTGCTACTTTGTTTATGCCTAGCAGTACTTCACAGCATAGAGAACCTTCCCATTCCAAGTCCTTCACTTAGCAATTATAGCTTTTGCAATTACAAAAATGTAAACAGAATCACAGAAACCCAATTTTGTTTCTCTGGTGTTCACAAGTACCCAACACTGTTCTAAAGGATGCTGGGGACCTAATTATTTCAAAGTGCCATCAGGTCAGGCAGCTGAAACTCAAGCAGCAGAAATAATGACAGATAATTTCCTAAATTATTTGGAGACATCTGAGGTATACATACAGTGAACCAGAGACTTGGTGGCCATATTTTGTTTGATGCTTTTGATATTGACAGCAGGCCAGATATACCGGTATTCCGGATTCTAAGAAATAGTAGAAGTAATGAGTCCACCTGTACATGTTAGGTTAAATATAATTGGGACGACAACTTGATCACTTGCTCCTAGATATATAAACCAATCAGGAGTAGTCTGGATTAGTTTGTGTCTGGATATTAAAATTTATAGCTCTAGGAAAAAAACCAAATACCTAGAATAAATACGAGTGAAATAAAAATGGAAGCTGAAAAACTTGAAGTACATGCATACCTGCATGTTGCTGAAAACTTGCATACCTAACCAAAATGGCAGAATGTGTCCAGTATACTGCAGAGATACTTTGCTGGGGCACCTGAGTTGTCAGGAATGTGAGTCAGATTCAGTCGTGCAAAGGGAGATACAGGGTGCATTGTCGGTGGTTTAAAGTGTAAGTAAACGCTTCACTATCCAACAGTTAATTTCACCAACTAAACTTTAAGATGTTAAAGACTAATAGCCTAATTGTGTGTCTCTTGAAGATAACATGTATGAACAATGTGATGAGTGAGTGAGTGAGTGAGTGAGTGAGTGAGTGAGTATGGTCTTACACCGCTTTGCAGCAATATCACAGTGGGGGACACCATGTTCGTCACATAATGCTTTAACCACTAGGCTACCCGACAACAACGTGATGAAGGCAATAAACAAGTTGGTAATGTCCTACCACTTAAGACATTTTTGCGATAGGGACGTGTACAATATTTATTAGCTATGAAAGTGAGAATACTGTGTATACATATATACACATGACAACCCATTTGTTTGCATAAGAAGTATTTGTTTTTTTAGCTCAACAGGTCTGAAGGCAATATTGCTTTAAACAACTTTTTCTCTGGAACTAAGAGATGGACATCAACCATATTTGGTTGGAAGTGTTCTCAGGTGGTGGGAATTCACAGTTGTACAAATAGAGGGGGTGAGGGGCGGGGCCGAAAAGTGTATATAACTTGGACACAGTTAAGATCCCCTTCGTCTAACCATATGTACAATTGCTGAGTATAACGAGAGGAATGCACATATGCTACCAGGACTGGCCCTTCTGTTGGCACTCCCAAAATGATTTACAACCTTGACCATAACATGCAAACTGATATTATCCCCACCCTTTGATAAACAGATACATTGTATACATTTGTTTGTTATGAAGAGAATAATACATTTATGCCAATAGGATTCGCCCTGGGGTCCAGCCTTACCTCTGGAAACTTAGATCCTGGATCATAACATGGAAACAGTTCAGATCTTTACACTACATTTGTATCTAGAGAAGTACATGTTCATGCTGTCAGATTTGCCATCCACCTATTTTAAATGCTGACAGAGTCAGAATTACGAAATATTTGCAGTATTATATACAGTACAATGCAAATGTATATAACTATCCAGGTGAGCGATACAGGCCTCTTGTTTTAAGAATGTTTAATAAATACATTTATTCATATGACAACAGATGCACATCAACATGTCATACATTGTTTCTGAATTTTGTTTTGTTTAACCAGTCAACTGTGAGGTTGTACAATTGTCAACACAACCAGGCTACTTGGTATTTTTGTTTAGTCTGTCATAGGGCTCGGGTGAAATTGTCTGCTTATTTCTAAATTGTTTTTGATAAGGGAATGTTTTGATGGAATACCATATGTTCATGTTATGTATACGAAATGAAAGAGTTTTCGGTATTGATTCAACACTTTTGTCATTGTGATATACTTTATGGGACACACATGAATTAATGAGCTGAAGTACCATATTCTCTGCATTAAGCGCCCTGTGCCAATAAGCACCCCTCAGACCAACAATCTGACAAGTCATCTTTATAAGCGCTCCTACAATGACCACCCCAGCTGCGTCATACCAAAAGACGTTAAAAGATGGTACTCAGCATTAAGGGGCTAAAACAAGGACTGTTCACCTTGGGAGTCAGTATACTGTGTCTGAGAGGTGTATTCATGTTAAACTGCAGCATGGTATCTCAGTGGCCTTGCACTATTAAATCGGCCTCAGTTCGACTGGTATATTTAGCAGCCACACACACACACATACACACACATGAATGCAGGTCGCTATATAAATGCAATAATCTTGGATGTGACGTAAAACCCCATTTCACCTTACCTCCAACAATGACTGAAAATGTACATGGCATTCCATGTTTTCTAGTGTGTATTATGGATTGTTTTACAGACGACAGCAGCTCAGACTGACTATATGATAGCTTCATAACAAAAGTTTTAGTTTCATCAATGTTTGAACTGAGTTTATTTACTATGCTCAATCTCAGAAATCAGATTTAACTCGTTGTGCATGGTTTCAATAAGCTTCCCCTTTGGCATTTTCTAAGCTCCCAGGGTGCTTATTTTGGCAAATATGGTATTCAACTTGGAAAGAATACTGTCCCATGCATCAGGCAATTTGCAGTCCCTTTTCTCCTTCTTTTACAACATTCACAACATTTTGAACCTGTTGTGTTGGTTTTATAGCTGAAGTACTGGTACATCTTTATGAAATGTCAGTTTGAAAGATTTTCTGATGGCATTAAATTGTCCTTGAATTATCAACACTACTGTGTCAAAGGGATAGACACCAACTAGACCAGACCTCATTTTGGACATCCAGTCGGGATTTCTTGGTTTAGAATTGGTCTCCAGCAACGTATGCTGGTAGTAAGAATCAATTTAATTAATCAAACGGTCACACTTGGTGACTTGGTTGTACTTGATAATATGTTATCATACCCTGATGGAGTGGATTATTTAGTTGCTCACCATATCAGTCACTGGATCAGATGGTCTAGACTTGATTGTTAACCGTCATATATCTTGACTGCTGTTGAGTATGGTGTTAAAACAAGAAACATGGATTTCAGACTATTGCTAACATGGAACTTATACCTTGATTTTAAGAGATACGGAAGTTCCTCAGATGTTCACACACAGTAGTGGATGACAGACACCTGGTGGCATCACTGTTTATTGGTATCCATTGATATAATCTTCATCACACTTTGTCCAGGTTTCTTGGTAGAGCAGGACATGCTTACTCTTTTCACAAACTCTTGGTGTCATCACTGATTTTCAGTAATCCATTGATATAATTTTCATCACCATTTTGCCTTTTTTGCCCTATGTAATCTCTTTTGGCTGATAATCGAGACTGGTTTTCTGGTATTGACATTTTGAATTTTAACCAGTCTCAGGTACCTGATCTAACCTTACAGAAGGTGGCTGTACAGTTTGTCCTTCTGTTCAACTACGTTTGACACATTTGATGGCATATGACGTCTCATGTCAAATGTTGACTTGTAACCAAATTTGTTGCGTGGGTTTATCACATCAGTCACCATCTTCTGTTCAAAATGTGAAACATTGGTACAAATGTATTTAAACATTTAACTTTCCAAATGTGATCGCACATTGAACATTTGACCTTCCAGATGTGATTGAACTATTGCTTTAATCTACAAATAAGCTATTAGTCACTCCAAGCAATTTGAAATTTAACTAATTTTGGAAAATTTAACTTTCAAGAATTATGTTGAGACATTTTAACTGTTCAGAAAGTGAAATTGCCATGTGCATATTTTGTATTTTCATTCTGCTCTCTGTATGCTTGTCATAAGAGGCGGCTAACGGGATCGGGTGGTCAGGCTTGCTGACTTGGTTAATGCATGTCATCGTATCCAATTCGCGTGGATTGATGCTCATGATGTCAATAACTGGATTGTCTGGACCAGAACCGATTATTTACAGACCTCATTCATATAGCTGGAATATTGCTGAGTGCAGCGTTAAACAACAAACAAACAGTGAAAACTCAATGCTACTTTCATCATCATTATTATAATCTTTATATTCTTATGATTTTCAGAGTCAAAGGTCCTGGGTTGAAAAGACATTTTTCAAGAGAGAGTGTTCCAAGTTCATCAAGAGTTCCAGAGATGCAACAAAGTGAGTAATAATGGATGTGTACAGAGATATCTAGAGGATCAGCACCTTGTTCAACAACGCAATCTAAGTGCTACGACTATTGTAAGTCTGTCTTAGTGTGTAGGAGTTGCACTAATCATAGCACAGAGATTGCTTTGTGAAAGTCCACATAACAATTAGGGGTTTGAGAAGATTTCCTAAATTAAAGCTGGAATGACAGAGTGAAACCTTGTTAGTCTGGAAACCTTGCAGTATGGACAATCTTCTTGGGAACGTCTATACTGCCTGCTTTAAAGAAGTTAAGGACTAAATAGGACTATAGTTAATCTATCAGAAGACTTAGAAAGATAAGTCATTGTATCTGACTACATAACAAGCCAAATACTCACTAAATATGAAACATCTGCAAAATATGGGGGGCACGGGTGGCCCAGTTGTCTATGGCGCCGTGATTCGCTGTGCAGAGTTGCATCCCTTGGGCACGCCAGAAACCTATGATTGTGGGTTCGAATCCCAGTTCGCCCAGATTATGTTTCTATGTTTTTCAGCACCCTACCCGTGCTCGTGGGTTTCACCGAAGTGGTAAACGTCTGAGACCTGGATCACTTCGGGCTTTCCTCCCACATTAAGCTGACACGCCGTGATATAACTAGAATACTGTTAAAAGCGGCGTTAAACCCAACTCACCCTGCAAAATATATCTTATCTGAACTAGGAACTGAGGGACAAGCATGAAATGGCTGAGCTATTGTAAGTGTCTGAACAAGTAACATACAAATTATTACTATTCGTCCTGAAGGTCCAAGTGATCTTTGCTCGGACTGTAGATCCCACTCTGTTGCTTGTTACCTCTATTGATTGTAGCAATGACTGTTTCAATGCCTGTATTATTTTAGAGTCCTGCAAAACTGTTAAGTGTGGGACAATGAGGGACAATTCTATGCTTTTTCATCAAGTTTTGATTTAACATTCTTCTTTATGTTAACAATATTTTTAAACTATTCGGGGCATTTGGGAAAGCAATATCTCAGTGGCCTAAAACATTGACTAATTTGAACCCTGCCTTGACCTCATCTGTTTGTAGCAACATTTCGTTCCTGGGCCTTGTGTACATTTAAGAGTGAGAGAATATGGCCTTGCATAAAAAACAATGGAGTCATCACCATCATGGTAGTGCATCAGGGTCTCATAAATCCTACTTAATTAAAGTCTATGAAGCCCATATTGGCCGTGCCTTGACATTAGCATTGCTCAAACAGCTTTGTCATACATATCCTAGGTATGAAACTCTGGATGGAAATTAGACCCTTGCACATCTGTGGCTTCCTATTGTCCTATTGCCAGTGACTCGTCAGAGCACAGTCCCATACACATCCAACCATGTAAAACACTCGGTGTTACACAGGAATCTTTTATAAGAATATTGATTCTTACGATGTGATTTTACTGATGCTGTGATTAACCCTAGAAAAAACAAATGAGGAGACTCCAGTAATATCTTCCTCTTTTTCATTCCAAGTATTCAAGACCATGATGTTTTGTCTAAGGAAGAAAATGAAAACCTTTCAAAAGCCTGGAACCACATTAAAATTACATGTCTGTATTGAGAACTGCAAGCTTCCGGCTACTGTGACACACTGAATGTCTATAAAGCCAAGACAAATTTGATTTCTGTTTCTAGCTGGTCTATTTTGGTCGAGGCTGTCTAAGCCTGGCTCCCACCATGCAATGCAGTCTTGATGAAGGGGGTGTTAGTGCCTCCAAGGCATACATTTGTAAGCTTGATGGAGAACCCTATGGCCCCCTAACAGCCCCATGTTACTCTGGCACTTACAAGGCTACAAGGAGAATGATTTCCTTTAAATTACAGTAAGAAATTGGAAAAGTTCTGAAAGTTTAATGGTTCTGTGAATTTGGATATGTCTGGCATTTAACATGGCATCAATGGTCAACACACGCGATGTGGTAAATAGAGTTGGCAACAGTTTACACAGCTGCCAATTAGGGAAATGTGAAGCATGCACTTGCCAAGGGTCTTTCAGAATTTTGTGAAATACAAATTTAAAAAAGATTGAACTCCTGAGCCCATAAAAAAAATGGCTCTTGTTGTTAAAATTAGACCTGATGAATTGTGCGGTTGAAAATACAGAAAGATCGGATCTCCTGAAAAAGTGGAAAGCGCTTTAAAATATTTTTAATGATCTGTTTCACTGCAGATAATGTCTCAGCGCCTGGAGCAATGATTTATATAAATGTGTGATAGGGAGAGAGAGGAGATTACGCTGACACTTGAGTCTCCACAGCTCTGCTGGACACAGTCGGAAGTAGGGCGGGAGGGCCGGCATATAGATTCTGTCAACATACAGCATGTCCAGGCACTGTCAAGACCTAACATCACTGTCAATAAAGAATATCAGGGCTGCTTAATTCCATTGTGTCTCGCCATCGGGAAGGAAACAGATCCTTTGATAGAGGTTGAGGAAGGTTACAATTTGACAGCACATTTGGATTTGAGTTTGATGTGAATCTTGTGGAACTCTATGAATTTGACCTAGTAACTAAAAGAAATACTGACCTTTGAACCTTTGGGGATAGAGTTTTAGAAGTGAATGCATTAGTTGTGCGAGAATATGTGTTATCTCTCAGGAAGTGATTAGCATGGTATTATAGTTGTCATTTTTTTGTAATATATCCAGGCTTAAATCAAAGGCTATTACAGCTGGCATAGCCAGTTATTTGATCCGTCTTAAAATAGAGTAACTTCTCCTGTATAATCTGAAGAGATGTTTGATAATGCACTCAAATGAAATGTACCAGAAGGAGCTCTGCAATATTCTCATCCAAATCAGGAGATCAATGAACTCATTACACCCAATCCTGGTATGAATGGGTGATTACGTAGAGTACAATGTAATCTTTTTTAATTTTGGAAATACTTGAGAAACATAAAAATCATTGTGTGAATGTATGAATATCTTGATCTAATTTGACATTCTTTGAGTTTTTCCTACCAAACTGGACATCTTCGACACTATAGAAGGTGAAACAAGAAAAGAACTAAGACAATATATGATTGATCATTCTTTGTCAGCATTAACATTTTCTATGAATTCAAAACATTGGTCAAGCAAATATGTTAGAATCACCCCTGACTTATCTCAGATAATGAGACAATGACACAAGTTGTTATTCATGGGACCTGGTAGTGAAGATCGGGTTTAGAATAGGTATTCAGCCATCCATGCTGTAAGAGGCTACTAACAGGATCTGGTGCTCAGGCTCTCTGACTTGGTTGAGGCATGTCATCATATCCCAACTGCGTGAATCAATGCTCATATCAATCACTGGATTGTCTGGTCCAGACCTCTGTCATATAGCTGAAATATTGCTAAGTGTGTCGTTAAATAACAAAAAGACAAAAAAATGTTATCCAACACTTGAAAATGATCATATTAAAGAAAAAACTCTAAGAGGGCTCAAATTAATGTAGAAAATTTCCAACCTAATTAGAGAAAATGGTTGAAAACAGCTGTCAGGAAGGGTGAAGTCCTACTCCCCCTCACCTTTGTCTCTGGCTGTGCTAATTTCTAATCCCCCAAAGAAAAGTATTTTCTGAGGTGTGAGATTCAAGAAAGGGTGTTCCAAATCCTTCACCAATGTAATGCATGTATCATTTAATATTTATTTAGTCTCCTAGTTATCATGTGATTAGTCTACCCAGTTATTGACATTGTCATGCAGTTTTGCACACACAAAACACCTTCCAACTTGAAGCTGTTTATCCACTGAGCCAAACATTAAATGATGAGCCTATTTTGTGACTGACAAAACAATGCTTGTTTTGTTACATTTTATAAAAAAATATTCCCAGAAGATTGTACCAGTATAATGTAATGAATAAGCTTTTATTGTGATTTTAAGAGCCAGGTTTAATATTTATTTTTCCAAATATTTTGAATGTTGTTATATTTGGTTTATTGGTATATGCAGCCTACAGTATCCACAACATAGACTACGTATCAATTTTTCAAGACTACGACTTGGAATGAAAGGTTGACTGATGCCTCTGACTGAATCCAAATGGAATCAATTGGTGTTTAGCATTACTCAACCTATCAAGGTCAATGACCACTAAATACTTCATTTGGCAGTGTTCATATAAAGGTAACATCCGTACAGAAATTGATCTTGCGAAACATGATATACAAAAATAATAATCATTTGCAAATACACACATGGTAATGAAAACAAATCAAAGGGAAATCATTATGAGTGGTACACTGGGTCAGTTGCTCGCCTTCAGTAGAGACAATCAGAACATAATGCACAGCAAGCTGAACTCTCAAACTGCCACTCCTAAAGATATAAAACAAACCTTGTATAGTTTGATTCTAAATAAGATTCTATAAGATGCTATAGATATTAGAGTGCTGTTGTTTGTGATAGTTTGTTCCTCGGTGTGCTCATTGGTTAGTGTCTACTTCAAGCTTTCTTTTTGCCATTGAAATTCATTGTAAACTTTTTGTTGTTTCTTCAAAGCGATTTATGTCCAAAAGTTATTTACAAACATTCTTTCAATATTACAGGAACTACAGCTCTGTATTTTGTAACATACATTAGCTAAATGATTTTGCCAAAGAAAGAAATGTTTTCTTATAGCTTTAGCTAACCTGAACTGGAAGTTATAGAATATGTGCCCTGACTCTTTGTCATCAGTCCATCATTGTAAACTTATACATTTAGACATATCCATAAAACCCTTTTAAGACCCTGAACATCATGAAGCTAAAAGTTTGCATAGATGATACCATATGAAACAATGGTGTCTCTAAAATTTGCCCACAAATACAATTTTTACAAATGGATAATCATTAAGGAATATATATTCAGCATTTTGTGTAAAATATTCCAGTTACTTGTTTTTACATTATCTTGATTTACCATTTATTATTCAACTTTCCAATAGTCAACTTTCCCTTTATGTCGAGCAATCTTCCTGCAGCTCCAGCCCTTGGTGTCTA